CAATGCGATTGTGTTTTATTATTTTAAGTATAAATTGTCTTGTTCCATTGGCAAAATGTTTCTCTTACCTCCTCAATCCAAGAACAAATACACTTTTATTAAGAAAAATGTGATTTATCTTGATTTTGATTTTTTTCTAATTCTGTTTATATCCATTCCTTAACTGTCTGGTAAACTAAAAAGCTTCAAACCCAAAATCAGAGCTAATGTTCCAGAACATCAGTCAGATTATGTTTATTATAAAAGGTCAGTATTGATTTTAACCTAACTAAGTTCAGTCTACACAGTCTGCCAAACACCTTTGCTCTGACACAGATCATGTTTAGCTCCTGCTCCTAATGACTGAGAAATATCCAAGCTTGTCTCAGAAGCAGATGTTTAACCAAAGTTTGTGTTATTCATTAAGCATGTTGGCTGTATTCACACCAGAATAAAGCTAATTGACTTCCCCTGGTCGTCCTTAAAGGTTTAAAGCACTCATTTCTGTTTCCCTGAGGGAATCCGTTCATCTCTTACCCCAAAAGCCCAGAAGCCAAAGATGATGATGACAAAATCGATGACGTCGGTGAGGAACATCAGCGCGTACACATCAGTGGAGGCCCGGTATTTATCCTTGGTTATGCTTCTGAAGAAACGCTGAGCTGGCTGCTTTACGCCCTGGAACCTGAAGAAGAAAACCCAACAGCAGGTCAACAGGCTGGTTTGGTGGCAGTTTTAAAAAGCTCCAGTGACCCATTCGATGGTTTACCCTCTGACGAGGAGTTGTTGGATCTTGTGTCCCACAGCGATTAACCTCAGTGTGGCGTCACTTTTCTTGTCTTTGGGTTTCTTCTCTGGTTCTGTGGCGGACTCTGCCAGCTCTGACAGAGACTCTAAAACAGAACAAGCAAATTAAAACACTGTAAGCAAACATAAGGACCTAAAGCTACTGTATGATTCTTCCCTCTCTAACCAACATAAAAGCGGTTTGGTACCAAGGGTCCAACTGGGAACAACATTAAAGTTCAGGGAAGAACCCAACATGAGGAAAGTCATACAGTCCATTCAAATCGTCTTCACATGGTATCGGGTAACATTTCAATTAGAAACAGATCATATCTCTCCTATCCTGGCTTCTCTTCATTGGCTTCCTGTTAAATCCAGAATAGAATTTAAAATCCTCCTTCTCACATA